TTTATGTTAGGAGATTTTAATTTTGTTTGAAAGCGAAGTTGCACACGTATGTCACATTGTTGTTATTATCAATTATATTGTCATCTATCAAAAACCTTTCGTCAAATCTTTTTAATCTAGTAACAGTGTTCGACAATACATTATTTTATGTTTGAATTATAATCTAACTAATTTTTAGAGAAAAATAGTAAGTTTTCTAGGATTTTTTAGTTAAATTATACAACTCTTTATGCATTTAAACATAATTAATTTATCATTAATTGATAGTTCAATATTACGAATTAAAATTTTTCTATTTTTTATTCCTTTCATATAATTTAGAGGCAACCTATATCTATTTATCTATATAAATCTATAAAAATAAAAATTCAGAAGTTGACATGACACCGAATTAGAGCTTTAAAAATGTTGATTGGGCATGATTTTTTTTTTCTATTTTTTCTTTATTTTAGTTTCAACATTAATAGAGGTAAAATTAATATTTTTCACAATATTAATGGTATATTTTTTTGGTTTGTTTCAATAATTAATAAAATTGTTAACACAATTAAATTCTCTTTAACTAATAAACTTTTGAGCTACTTTCTCTAATAATGCAATTAACAATATTATTGAATATTAACCTTAATCTTATTTTAAATTTTAAGATTTTTTGCAATTACCCATGTATCTATTATCTTTGATATTTAGATTGACATAAAAATAATATGCTAAATTATTTACTCATTTAAAGTCTCTAATGTTAAATGAATTACAGATTTCCAATTGCACTGAAATTTAATTAATATATATAAGTAATTACATCAAAATTTAAGATTTCTTACGATCCACGAAACACGTAAGTCTGTGACTAGTTATTAAACTAATAATTTAGTGATTGAATGTTTATTTATATTATAGATAAAAAGGTTTTTTTTTTTTTTTTTGAAAGGAATTATTGATAAAAGCTTAAAGTACTTAAAATTTCATATTTTGAAATATTCCCAAATTCCCATATTATTGCCATTTATGGACAAACAATTTTGGTGAATTGTGTTCATCGAAGCCTTTACGTTTGGAGTAGTTATAATAAGGACACAAAAAGGCACCACACAAATTAAGAAATCAATTAAAAAAAGAACTATTAAGAAAATGTTTTTCGAGTCTTGTTATTTTATGTTAAAATTTGTTTTTTGGACGTGAATTAATCAATTGAGAAAAAAAAATAATTTTTAGATTTTTTTTATTTAAATAGTAGCAGCTCCAAATTTCAAATCATTAACCTTACGGTCCATATTACACGAAATGAAAACGTAAAAATGATATGAAGAAAAATGAAAATACGAGAATGATACAGAGAAATAACACTTAAAATATAATTTTAGACAGAAAAAGATACAGAGAAATAATATTTAAAATATAATTTTATACGGAAGAATAATATTTTATATGAGAAATAATTGGGTAAAAAATTGCAAAATAACATATGAATCAGCCCCACTTATCAAATTGATTGAATAAATGGATAAAATTGCAAAATACTGTAAGATAGCTGGGTTAGTCCAACCTCTCTAGTAATCAAGGGATGTGGCGACAATGGCATCAAGGATCGTCAATGGACGGTTGATATAGCGATTAGAAATTTGAGGTCCCTTCACTAGGATTGGCACAAACGGTCGATGATGAACAGTCAATGGACGGTTGATTTGGCCCTCCAGTGATGGGCCCACAAGCAAATCGTTTGTTTGAAAATCATCATACAATAATTATGCTTATGCATGACATTTGTAGAGAAAATAAAGATTACACGTATGGATCACATACGTGCCCAACACCCATTGAACAATTGTGGTGATGCCATTATGGAGTGGGTTGACGGATCCAGAAATATTTTTTCTCGATGGTCAATATATAATTTAAAAAAAAACAGTAAAAATTATAAATAAATTGAACTTTATTAACTAACATAGACAAATATATATATATAATATTAGAAAATTTCAAAAAAAAAAAAAAAAAAAAAAGTGAATTGCATTAATGGAGTGGGTTGACGGTATCGCAGAAATATTTTTTCTTCGATGGTCAATATATAATTTAAAAAAAAACAGTAAAAATTATAAATAATTGAACTTTATTAACTAACATAGACAAATATATATACTATAATATTAGAAAATTTCAAAAAAAAAAAAAAAAAAAAAAAAAAAAAAAAAAGCAACCAATTCACGTCTCATTTTATTAAGTGGATCCGCCATGGCTCATACTTCATTCTCATATCACAAACAAATGCATGACACGTAATAATCATTATATTGCATTACGGTTTACTAAATATTGCATTATCATTTATTTCAGTTATTATTATATTTATTTGACGTATATATCTTTTTTTTTTTCTTTTTGTGTGTAAATACATGTATTGATGCTCATATGAATTAAAGAATTACGATGGTAGTATTGTGGGACTCGGTCTATGATAGTAGAACCCAACCTAATGCAGTCTACAAAGTGAGTCGTGACTCCTAGACAAAAAAGCTAATATTTAAACATCAGACATAATGAAATGCTATTGTTGAGAATCGAACCTGAATCAAATAAGTGGATAATCAACACTTTTATCATCGATCCACCACATCAGACGGTAACACAAAACTCTACGTAGAAAATAAGAACGTGATTATTTAATAATTGAATTCTACTATTAGAAGTTGACACCTTGTCAAGAAAGTTGGCTCTCTCCATCTTTCTCTTTCTTTCATTATATATAACCTAAAAAATAGCAAGTACACATTGTGTGGCTGATCAACCGGGAGAAGTTGATTTTGCCAAAATAAAAGTTGTGGAGTGTGTACTTAATTGGATGAGTTTTTAGGTAAAGGGTTAGAGAGGAGCCCACCCCCTCAAATTGTCTAAGGATATTACTATTATTACACTGTTATAGTGGGACACTATCTTAAACAAGTTGTGCAATACATGGTGGAATTATTGCAACTTTTACATATATATCCTCTTGTCAATTTTATTATTATTATTTTTTTGATACAATTATTATTATTATTATTATTATTATTATTATTATTTGGTTGAGTTGGAAATGTGTTAGGACTCAAGGAATGTGACTCGTAAGTGGGGTTGGAGCAACATTGCCATATCCCCCACTCTAAGGAATTTGAGAGGAACAAATTTGGATGGGTCAATTTTGATTTTGAGTTTTTGTTTAATCTAATCTTTTTTATATTTGGTTGGTTCGATTTTAGCTATTTTAGCCCCTCCTCCACCCTAAAAAGAAAAATATCGAATTCATTTTAAGTATTTCAAATAATAAAATCAATTCAATTGCAACTTAAAGATAACATTTGGCTCGTGTACAATGCAACTGTGAAAGTGTGTGAGGCGCTTGGTCGTTTTACCATTGATTCATTAGCTTTTGTTTTTATAAGAATATACAATTAATTCAAGGAAAAGTGGCATGCAATTTTAATTTATATACAATCTACTAATTTCTTCTTGATTTATATTATTTTCTTACTATTGATTAAAACTATTTTTAAAATTTTTAGCATAAATTTAGAAAATAAATATTAATTTTTTAATGATTCATCATTTCATTCATCTATTTTAGTCTTTTTTAGAAAAGTTTTTTAATGGCTAGAAAAAAATTTATTTATTGTGTTATCTATTTTCTTATTGTAGTTGTCAAAAAGCTTAAAAACAAACATTGTAATAAAATTAAAGGATCATAATGGTAAGAGATTTTTAATGTTCTTTTTTAATCATACTTCTCTTTTTTATATTAATTAATAGTTTAGCAAATAAAAACTGATAGTGCATGGTAAAATATCATTAATAATTAAAACTAATCATATTGTTAACAATGACAAATATTTAAAAAGTAATAAAAAATATAAAATCTTCATAGCTCCCTGCAGAAGCACAAGTGCGATCAAAATAGCAACCTTGAAAAGAAAAGTTCTCACACTCAAAATTTAAATAAAAAAAAAAAGAAAAATTAACACCCCTTATTTTTAATTTTTTTTTTGTTTGACTGAAAACAGCACCGCTTTGACTAGAAAACCCAGTGCCTGAGTTTTAGAAAATTCTGAAAAATAATTAATTTGTCTATTAGAGACTGAGTTAAAATTAGAAAAATTAATTAATACTCCTTAATATCTTCAAATAACAGATAATTTTAATAGAAATAGATGCATGAAAATAGATAAGGGGAGTATGATTTAATTACATTAGCTATATTCCCTTAACCAATTTTTGAAAATGATTATAGTATTTTTATTTAATAAAAAAAATGATATTTTCAAAGTCATAAAAATATCTTGGAGACAACCTTAATTAATTAATTAGTAGCTAAATAATGGTTAAATTACATGGTATCACTGTTTTTCTTCTGTAACATATATTCCCTCCACCTTCGCAATTCTGTTTTAATTATTATTCTTATGTATAAGCAAATCTTGTTTAGGCATCAAAAAAACAATAATTAAAAATAATCATAAACCTTAAACCATATGGTCACAAAGCTCACCAGTGACACCCTACCAACGCCAGATTCGCAGTAAGTATCAGTTCAATCCTGTACTACTGTTAGTGTTAGTATATAAGAAATAGTTTTTTACGTTTCTTTTTTGACAACTCACCAATTCTAACATGCAACGTGGCAGTTCCTGGACCAGTTGTACTGACACTGATTTAGCATAGCAGATAAATCCGGGGTGGCCGACAAGTAGACAACTTGATTTTGTGGACAGCAGCGCTTCTTCCTTTTCAACCGTCCACGTTTTCTCCATTCAACGGTTCGATTCTTCTCTTCCGTACGGTCTAACGCCATGCTCGTCAAATCCCAACCCACGCCCTTATGATGTACCCAAAATCTCGATCGTGGAATGGCTAGTTTCGAGTTTTTACATTTCAAGGGATATTTTAGCAATTGTGTGTTTTTTATAGGGTTAATTTGGACATTTTGGAGATTTAAAAAAAAAAAAAAAATTGTTACTAGAAGATTTGGAGGGGATATTTGTCAGACTTCAAAACCTTCTCATCTTCTTTCCACACGCGATGCTCTCTCTTTCTCCCTCTATCTGAAATTCCGCGCTCTCTGATTTCATGGTCGGTTAATGCCAGCAGTTTCGACGGGGAACTGGAAACTGGAAACTTGATATATATTTATAGGCAATAATTTGGTTTTGAATTATCAAAACATAGATATACAACTTTTGCTTTGAGTATTTGCAAATTCTAGTGTTTCACTAGTAGTGGTGGCTGAAAATGCAAGACATCCACTCTATTGGAGGCGGAGGCCGGTTATTTGGCGGTGGAGGAGGTGACCGGAGGTTGAGGCCGCACCATCACCAGAATCACCAAGCATTAAAGTGTCCGAGGTGTGACTCGCTTAACACTAAGTTTTGCTACTACAACAACTATAACCTCTCGCAGCCTCGTCACTTCTGCAAAAACTGCCGGAGATACTGGACTAAAGGCGGCGTTCTCCGTAACGTCCCTATTGGCGGTGGCTGTCGCAAGACAAAGCGGTCTAAGCCGAAACAAAACAACTCAACTACAGACAATAACACCACCTCAACTACTACAGCTACAACTACCACTAACACAACGCCGCCTCAACCGCAGCAGCCGCAGCAGCAGGAGCAACAACGAGAGCGGAAATCTTCAAATTCTCATTCTAGTAGCGAAAGCTCTAGTTTAACAGCCACAAATACTACAACGGCTAACACTGGTTTAGAAGCAGTTTCTGCACATTCTTCGAGCTCTGCTTCTAATACTATACTGAATGGAATTGGTGAGTCTAAGCTATTTGCGCATGGGAACATAAATCCGAGCTTTGAGCCTGGTTTGCTAGAGCAAGGATCGGACTGTGGAATTTTCTCAGAGATTGGAAGCTTCACTAGCTTAATTACTTCAACGAATGAGCCGTTGTCTTTTGGATTTAGCAATATAATAAGCCAACAGAGTCTTGAACATGCTCAGCAGAATCAGAATGAGCAGTGGCAACAACAGAGTCAGCCGAAAATGGTGAGTATAGGTGGAGAAGAGATGAAGATGCAGGAGATGGCGGGAGGATTGATTGATCAGACGGTTCATGTTGAATTGTCAGCGTTGCCCAGTAGTAGATCAGGAAATGGAGGGTTTGGACAGTTGGATTGGCAGAGCACTGGAGATCAAGGTCTGTTCGATCTTTCCAACACCGTTGATCAAGCTTACTGGAGCCAGAGTCAGTGGACTGATCAGGATCACCCTAGTCTCTATCTCCCGTAAATCTCCTCACCTTGTTTAACTTTATTTAAAACGAGAAGAATTTAAAAAAGAAACTCTCAAAAGAAATTAAAAAAAAATTGCAAAATTTCAAATTGAGAGAATTTATATGGAAAATATGAATATGACTGCTGTTTCTTCTATGTAAATTTTTTTTAAATATTTAATTTTTTTGGGGGTTTATTTGGTGATTTTGGAAGATGTTTGGGTTTGATCATTTTCATGTGCAACTAACTTTCATGTTAGTTTTCTTTTCTTTTTTGAATTTTTGGAGTTTTTTTTTTTTTTTTTTTAAAATTCTGATGTATCTGGGATTAAATTAAATCAAAATATAGAGGAAAAATAGTGTTTTGTTTGCTCCCATTCCATGTGCATCTGTAATGTCTCTTTCTCTTATTAATTCTGTGATCAGTGCTCTAACACAAACAGTTAAACTAAAACACTAACTTGAGAACGCGCCACGTAACCGTTTTTAAAGATAATAGTGGGCGATAATTGCATGGGAGGGAGTTGAGTTGCGCGTTGCGCTAAATTGAGTTGATCTCAATGTGGGAGAGTGTACGGACTGTAGTGTGCGAGTGTACCGGTCGGTTTTGGGTGGGTGGCGGGGTCCACATGTTGTGACCAGTCCCTCGCATGCGTGATTATGACTCCACGTGGCGATGGAGGGGCCTTAATGGCAGTGGACACGTGGGATATCCTCATTGGACAACTTCCATCAAGAGAGAAGGAGTCGGTTTGTCCTGGCTCTCTACCAAGTCTAAAAAACTAGTGAGTGCATAACAGGGAAGATTGATTGGGATGGGCAAATGTGGGGGAATAGGTGGTGACGTGGCGGTGTGGGACATAGATTAGGTGAGTGGTGGTTACTGGTAAAACTGTGAGTGATGGTGGGGACCAGCGGCATGTGCAGAAGTGGGTCTCACGTACGACTCACATTTGGTGGGTAATATATGCATCTGATGTAATGTGAATGCCAAGTCCCCACCTTGTTATTTTGGGCGCTATAGAGGGCAGAGCGTTGTTTTTAATGCGTAGGAGATGGAAGGAAGGAAGGAAGGAAGGAAGGGGTCAAGGAGGAGTTACCCATACTACAGTTCAGAGCCATGTATAGGTTTGTTGCTCAGTGATTACCAGTATCTGTTTTGGTGTGCATAATATCCAAATGTTCCTTGAGATGTTTCCCAAGCCATTATTATTATTGGTATGGTGTGAATTAACTAGTTAAGTCCTTTAGAAGAAGTGGTCCATTTATTGCCTCTTTAACGTTTTGGGGAGTGAACATTAGAAAATGTAATGCCAAATTAGAAATTTTTAACTCTATCTCAAAACCTGCTAGTGAACACCACCCACTCCACCCTTTAGAGTTTAGACTCACTATCTTTTGACCAGTTGCTAGCCGCATACTTAAAAAGATAAATTAAACTCTTCGAGAGGCAGCTGCACAAGTCTTACCTGTTCAGCAAGATGAATCTATTTTTGTCTCCTGCCAAGTTTGAACAGGCCAAACAAGGTAGAAAGAAGGCTCCATTGGAAACTTCTTCGTAGGGAAAAGAACCAAATGCCAGAATGCTAATATGTGGCTGCTACTGGTGATCCCTAATCAAATAAATTATTAAGAAGCCTTCTCTTAAACTGTTGTTGTTAGAATAAGGAAGAGAGAGAAGAGGAGGCCATGTCATCAAGAGTGAAAAGATAATAAGCTGTGTATTGCCTATGCTGATCATTACTGTGATAAAGTGAAGGATGCCAGCCTGAAATGGCTCCACCAGGACCAATAGAGCTTCTTGGTTGGAAATGTCAAGGGGTTCCCTCACCGTGACAGTTCACCATCCTCAAGGGTTATCCAAAACCCATTTCCACGTGCTACTTTGAGACTGAAAAAAAAAGAGACTTCTTACACAACAACACTGTAATTCCATGTAGGATATTTACATGGAATAGTAAATTATCAATAATAAACCGTGATATTTAACTTCTGACGTCGGTAATACAGTTAAGTGAGGTTGGATTGATCTCCAAGGCAATCTTCAAATTTCAGTTAAGTCGGCAGGTGTTGTGATTGAGATGGAATTAATTTCTGCTTGGTTTTCTGTGTGTGGGACAGAAATTAGTACTAAGGATAAGGAATGGAACTAGGACTTGAAAGCTAAAGCTTTCTATCTCATTAATTATGATTTTCAAACAATTATCTAACTGAATTAACTTTGCTTCCTTGAATAAACGTCTTCTCATGCAGCCCTGTACAGCTAGGCTCTAGCTTCCTTTCTATTTGTATCTTCAGTAATTTACCAGAGAGTCATGCAGATAAGAAATTCTTTGTAAAATCTTTTACCTTTTGATGTTACGTTTTTTTTTTTTTAATTTGTATATATTTTTTATTATTTATAGAATAAATCAAAATTATTGGAGTTTTTAACATTTTTTCAAGGTCACTAAGTTTTTTTTTTGTGCCGTTGAAAATAATCAAAATAGGAAGATCATATCAAAATCCTTGGGCCCTGCATCAATACAAGTCAACTGGAGTTTTATGTCATGCAAAGTCAAGAAATTTGAATGCCGATCATTCAATTGATGAAGAAATTCTAAGCAACAATACAATACAAATTGCATAAACTCCATTCAAAAGACATTTTTCGTGTTCCATATGCCATGGACATGGACACAACATAATTAGATGGGCCAAATATTGTTTAATAGCATTGACTAATAGTTGGGTAGATTTTTCTACTCGAATGGCTCTCGTTCTTGAAAATCTGAATAGGATTATAAAGAAGATAACTAGAATTATTAGCTACATCTCTATATATATTCACTTTTTAAATATATTATGAAAATAATTTCTTTAAAGCAATAATATTTAGAAAAAAGAAATTAAGGCAGTCTATATTTATTTTCACTTGGCCATAAAAGGGAAAGTATGATTGTATTTCCTACTGAATACGTTACACAGAGGCTTGTTAAATACAAGAGAAATAGAAGTAGATAAGGACTGCAAAACTAACTCTATCTAAAATACAGATAATATTTATAAAATACAACAAACAGACTTGTGTAATTTCTTTAAAGCAATAATATATTTAGAAATAAAGAAATATAAGGCAGTCTTATTATTTCACTTGGCATTAAAAGGGAAAGTATTTCGATTGTATTTCCTACTGACATACGTTACACTAGAGGCTTGTTAAACTACAAGAGAAATAGGAAGTAGATAAGGACTGCAAAACTAACTCTATCTAAAATACACGTATAATATTTATGAGAAAAATTACAGACAGAACAGACTTGTGTACTTATCTTCATCCTTGTGGATATGTTAGCCGTTACTCCCCGGCAAGATGGATTGGGAACCCATCGGAGACCACCCAATCTTTGGTCTTCCTGGTTTTTAACGCAAAAAAAACACGGTCTTTGCACTGAGGCTTAGTAAGAAAACATCAGCTAGGCTGATCTTTGACGCTGATACCGCCAATGTACTTAATCGAACGCTTTCTTTCTTTCCTGTGAACAAGATTCAGCGCACGAAATGGAGAGGTGAATTCTAATTTTTCAAATGTGTTTCATTCTCGTGATGGGTTAAACGGGGTTTTGGCAGACATAGGTGGGTTGATATATTACACAATAAATTTACCGGAACTTTGAACTGAAGACAACACGACCAAGTTCCACGTTAGAAGGTATAGACTAACCCCCACATACTTCAGACGCAGGTGTGTACTTCGGCCCTGCCCGGTGACTACTCAAGCCTCAGGTTTGATGACCCGGCGCTGGAGGGTGAACCATTGATTTCTGCTTGTGAGAAGGCCCACCAGAATGTGGAACATTGCCCAAGATAGCAGAATATAGCCCAGTTGCTAGCGATGACGATTATCCAATGGATCACCCTACACCTCAATCGAGCATCGGCAAAGAAGTCTCATGAAAATGAAAAGTCAGACTGTGGTGGTTATTTTAATTCCATAATCATCGTAGATTTTTAGTAACTGTAAACAGTCGCTTTCAAGGCTTCCCACATATGAGCTGATGAAGGACTTGCATTAAACTTGAGGAAAGGGTTATGTTTACTGCATAGCATTAATATCTAGGCCTTGTTCCGAGTCAAATACTGCTCACCCCTGGCCCTCCCTACCAACTTCCTGTTTCACTCTGTAGCATTTACACCTTTACAGGTCACATTTTCTTTTTAGGAGATGTGGTAGTTTGTCGGCAAATGGAAGGTGGATACTGGTTTTGACGCCCTTCCATTGCGAAGCGTGCAACAAGTAATTTACAAGTAATTTCCTTATATAATGATGCTGACTCATGAACATTCCACTTGCTGTTGTGTGAATATCAATACCCAAAAAGAAATTCAACTTCTGTGGGTCTTTCAGAGAAAACTTGGACCCCAACGCAGAAATAAAAAGATGTATCAACTCATTGCAATTACCGGTTAGCAAAAGATCGTCGACGTATACAAGAAAGAAGCAAGTTTTGGCACCTCTTTGCAGTATGAAGAGTGAATGATCACTTTTTGATTGGACAAACCCAAACTGAACAGCACAATTGCGCAACGCTTGATACCATGCTCTAGGCCAATTGCGCAACGCTTGATACCATGCTCTAGGCTCTTGACGAAGTCCATAAAGCGCTTTAACAAGTTTACAGACATAATGTGGCTTTTCTGAATCTATAAAACCTGGTGGTTGCTGCATGTACACATTCTCAGAGAGAGGACCGTGTAAAAATGCATTGTTTACATCCAGTTGATAGACATTCCACCGCTTGGATACTGGATAGACATTCCACCGCTTGGATACTGCCATAGTCAAGATTACCCGAATGGTTGTGGGCTTTAATACAGGACTGAAGTTATCTTCAAAATCAATACCAGGTCGTTGAGTGTAACCCTTCGCAACCAGACGAGCTTTATATTTTGCCACTGTACCATCTGGGGTTCGTTTAACTCGAAAAATCCATTTGCATCCAACAAGATTTTGACCTGCAGCTGGTGGAACAAGAACCCAAGTGCCATTAGTAATTAAAGCATCAAATTCAACATTCATAGCCTGCCTCCATTTCGGAAGTTTCAGAAGAAGCATTTGTTGAGTAACTCTAGTTGGTTCAACAGTTGCGGGTAGAGGATGTTTAGTGACTGTGTGAAGAACTTTGGGTTTATAAATGTTATTTTGGGAGCGTGTGACCATGGGATGAGTTCTTTGAGGTGGTGGTTCGGTTGATTGTGTGTGAGATGAGGAATCGGAACCTGTCACGGAGTGTTGAGACTCTATAGAGACAGACATAGGAGAAGACACAGGAACTGAAGACAACAAAGCTGATGTTGCCATAGAAGACGAATCAGACGATGAAGAAGACTCAAAAATAGGCTCGGTTGAATGCGACATAGATGAATTGGGTGAAAAAGGAACAACTGTTGTGATATGTGTTTCATTAGATTGGGAATTAGGGTTCTGAAAATCCCCTTGGCGGGAAAATGGCATCGTACCAGATGGAGAGGATGGAGACGGCACCGCATGAATTAAAGGTTGACTTTCAACATTGTACCAGGACTCATTCGAATTAGAAGGCTCCAAGTTTGACTTTTGACTAGGAAATTGGTCTTCAATGAAAACTACATGAGGAGGCTCCAGTTTGACTTTTGACCAGGAAATTTGTTCTTCAATGAAAAAATTGGTCTTCAATGAAAACTACATGCCTGGAAACAAACAGCTTATTAGAATTGTAATCAAAACACAGATATGCACTTTGATGTGAAGAATATCCCGAAAATAGACATGGTTTAGAACGCTGCTCAAATTTATTATGAGTATAGGGACGTAAATACAGGTAACACAAACAACCAAAGACCTTTAACCGATTATAATTTGGAACTTGCTTAAACAATTTAAAATAAGGAGAAGACATATTAAGAACAAGTGTTGGCAGTCGATTTATTAAATAAGCTGCCGTCTGAAAAGCAAATGACCAAAAACGTGATGGAAGACCTGCAGATTGAAGAAGAGTTAATCCAGTTTCGACAAGATGGCGATGACGCCGTTTCGCTGCTCCATTATGTTGAGGAGTATGCGGAGGTGTTTGAAGATGACTTATTCCATGGTGTTGAAAAATCGATTTAAGCGCAATAAACTCTCCTCCTCCATTAAACTCTCCTCCTCCATCTGTATACATGGACCTGATTTTTGTTTGAAACTTATTTGCAACCAATTTTTGAAAGACTGGAAAAACTAAAGCAACATTAGACTTGGCCTTTAAAGGATAAAACCAAATATACTTTGAGAAATGATCAACGAAAATTAAATAATAATGATAACCTTCAAAGGAAGAAACTGGGCAGGACCCCAAAGATCCGAATACAGTAACTCTAAAGGACGCAAACTAGTAAGCGAAGAAACACCAAAAGCGAGTCGATGACTCTTATTACATTGACACGAATTACAATTGAAAGACAATGCAGAAGACTTAGACAAATTAAATTTGGACAGAACAAAACCACAAACTTTTGCAGCTGGATGACCCAATCGTTGGTGCCAAAGAGACACGGAATCACGAATACTGAAATACGCAGCAACCTTAGAACGACTTTTGGAAACTGACGACAACCGATACAGAGAGTCTTTAATTTGGCCTCTTGTTATTATCTCCCCCTAGCTGCCTTCTTGTTATTATCTCCCCCGTGAACAAGTAATTTGGCCTCTTGTTATTATCTCCCCCGTGAACAGGTCCTTAACAACAAAACAATCAAAGAAAAATTCAATCGAAACATTATTCTGAAGACAAAATTCAGAAACAGAGATTAGATTTTCTTTTGACTTTGGAACACATAAAATATTATTAAGGGAACAAGATTTGGTAGGAAAGGTTAAAACTTTTGAACCAACATGAGTTATTCTCAAACCTGAACCATCCGTTAGGTGTAGCTCATCAAGCCCATCATATGGCGCATGAATTGACAGATTTTGAAGATCATTAGCCACATGGTGAGAAGAACCAGTATCAAGAACCCAGCTCATCGAAGCAGAAGCAGAAACTTGATTTGCTCGTGGAGGCTGTGGAAAATTGTTTTTAAAGAAATCCTTTGCTTTAAAACACTTTTTAGCAATATGTCCTGGCCGTTCACAGATTTGGCACAAGACTTTGGAATTACCACGCCTTCCATTAGACTGAGAACCTGACGGAATCACATATGAATTATCAACACTACCATCATCCGATCGATTAAATTGCCGCTGATTAGAACTAGACCCAGACGATCCAGCATTACGACGAACATAATTAGCTACAATAGGAACAGTAGAGTCATTCTGCTTCAAAAATTCTTCATGAGCAAGGAGTTTATCCTCCAATTCAGCAAAGGTTATAATGGAATCTCGTGCACGAAATCCTCCAATTCAGCAAAGGTTATAATGGAATCTCGTGCACGAACTGCTGCTGCAATATCCCGGAAGTCAGATCCAATACCATTAAGCGTGTGAATAACCAAATCAACATCTGACACTGGACTCCCGGATAAAGCTAATGCATCTGAAATCGCTGTAATATTCTGCAAATACTCCTGAACAGATTTTGAATTACGTTTGCAGTTGGATAATTTTTCGTGGAGCGATAAGACTCGCGTGGCAGATTTGTTTGCGCAGGTGGTCTGTACTTTGTCCCACGCATCAGCAGCAGTCTTGGCATTAGAAATAATATGCATCGCAGAAAAACTGATGGACGCAATAATCGCACCAAACCAAGTATCAACTGATCTTGGCAAATCCAGTGTTCATAATCTGGATTTGCAATATCTTCTCCATCTTTTGATATAATCGGAGATGGACATGGAAGTGATCGATCAACGTAACCAAGCAGATTGTGACCTCGCAACACAGGAACGATTTGTGCGCGCCATGACGGATAATTTTGAGGTGAGAGTTTCAATGGAAACTGTGAAGCATTGATAGAAACCAAAACTTTTCCAGAAGAGTGGAAAACATTAGAAACGTTTGAGATTGAGGAACCCATTTTGAAAACAGAAAGAAAATAAACGCAGAAAATTATTGAAGAGAAATTGCCCGCAGGGCTCTGATACCATAAAAGGGAAAGTATGATTGTATTTCCTACTGAAAATACGTTACACACGAGGCTTGTTAAATACAAGAGAAAATAAGAAGTAGATAAGGACTGCAAAAACTAACTCTAATACGTTACACAGAGGCTTGTTAAATACAAGAGAAATAGAAGTAGATAAGGACTGCAAAACTAACTCTATCTAAAATACAGATAATATTTATAAAATACAACAAACAGACTTGTGTACTTATCTCATCCTTGTGGAGTGCCGTTAGGCCACAGCTAGATGTATTGATTATCTATAACCTCCACCTATACTTTCTTCTTTTTCTTCCCTTATATATGGTCAGAAATATCTTTATTCCAATAAAAAAATTATTTTTATTAGTTAAGGTGAATATTATTGTATATACTTTTAAATAATAATATTATTATTGATTTTAAAAAAAATGTAAAAAGCAGAAAAATATTAGAGATTATTAAACTTACAATTATAGTTTCTAAAAACATTAGTGACTGAATCTTAATTTAGTACCAAATGCAATGATGAACTTATCCTCAAAGTCTATAATGTTGAATGTAGCTGTCTAGGCTCAAAATAAGATGGTCCAACCATAGGATGGGGCGGGGGATGAGCTAGGTAAGATGTGACCTGCTCAGGAGAGTAGTAATCAATCACATTCTAATTGCCCAGTTGACAAGGATCATTCTAACACCCTTATTGCTCACTCCACCATTCCCATTTTTAGTGGGTCATCAATCATAATATTTTGCCTTGATATTTTTTTCACTTGCTTATTTAACCTCTTTTAGTTTATTGTTTTAGCGTGCCGGATGCTGAGGAGTAAAGCGTTTTCGATGAGCATTTATCCCGTTTATAGGATGAACTTTCGATCTCTGTTAAAGGAGAATAATGATAAATTAATTGTTTCAGTATTCATTTGTTTTGGTATTGATCTTGATACTTGTAAATTGTAATTTTTACAAAATAGTTTTACTTTTGAGGGGCAAGGCTACAGTTCCTGATAAAACCACAATTGCATAGTTATATAATATATACACAATTGAGCCAACAAAGTAGAACCTCTTGCATTTTTCACTAGAAGAAGAGCAAATGAAGCTTAAGCTGCTCTAAAAAGCTTAAGAAAGAAAGAAAGAAAGAAAGAAATGATATATAGATGTAAAAAGAAAGACAAAAAACCAACAAAAATGTCACAAGAAATCCATGATTTCTCTGGCCTTTTATGCTTATTAACTCCATTTCATGCAAAAGTTTCCTTTGCAACAAACAAGCGATCTCCAACGACGAGGCCTGTGCCAATGTCTCCTGTTTGCAGTTGCTTGCCATTGTTTCCCGTTATTAACAATTCCTATCCACATAGGGCTCTCTGCGCCTTCTGAAGCCAATCTGAACATAAAAAACATAAACGTAAGTAAAAATCTTATTCTTCCTTTGATGAACTGTGATGTAATGTAATGTAATTAAATGTATTTCTGGTAATAAATATTTGCATTGCGTACATTGTATTATATTCCATTAAGAGTCATAAATCGGAGCCTTAAACGACAAAGAACATCTCAAAATAATATGAACTTACACTGGAAAAGCGAACGAATGCGCGCTGTTAGATGAATTAAGAGAACTAATTATAGTTTCCTCTTCACTTTCACAGGCATCATTTGTAGGACAGTTGTTATCTGCTGCTTCATTTGAGCATGATAACAAAGAGTTTGGCAATGCTTCCTCCTACATAAAATTTTTAAATTCATTAGTAACCATAAGTCTTTAATTTTAATAGTTCTGTAGAAAACTCCATTGTAACCATGTCCTTACCTCTTTGGTTTGATGGATATCGTTTCTCTCTTTGATATCTGCTGGTTCTTTCTCTGTCGATTTCTTGGAACCACACTGGTGAATATTGCAATCATCTTGCAGCTCTTTAATGAGTTGAATTGCTTCTACAAGCTTTTCAGCAGAATATTGGACCAACCCTTCGTCTCTTCTTTTAAAATCTTGGTTTTCTATCAACTGTTCAATCTTATTATCGGTATGATCAATCCAGACATCATCTCTTTCATCAAAATCTTCTTCTTCTTCTTCTTCTTCTTCAACTTCCACTTCATTTTTAAAATCACAAGTAACAAAATCCAATTCATTCGCAATGGATTGCAATCTTTCTAAAGTTTCTTTAATCGAATCGTTACTTTCTGTATCATAATTAAGAATAGAAGAAGAAAGATTATACTGCTCTAATCCATAATTTTCATTCAAACTACATTCAGCTTGATCAACAGAATCATCATCCATTATAATATCCTTTAATAAACTATCAGAATTACTTTCTTGAATAAATGCAACCATTTCTGGAATGTTATGATAATTATTATCCTTTTCTTCCATTTCTTTTCTGAAATAAATCTTTTCCTTTCCTTCTGATTCACTAGTAGTACTATTGACAGATCCTTCACAATTTACTGGATTTTCCCATGCCATGAATTTAGATTCTTGTTCTTTCTTTGTACTAACTTTTCTATCCACTATTTCTTCTTTCTTTCTTTTTTTATGCTCAAAATCCTTCTTCTGAATATCTATAACTACTTTTAAATCCTGAGAATCACCGATGAATTGGAAAGCCTTGTAGATAGGCATGTCAGTATGAACATAGCTACTCAAGGATTCATTATTGGCTGCAAGAATACATTCATTTCAATATTTACTTAAAATCGTATTTTGATCAAACAATGTTAGATCATATGACCTTGAAGAGTCAAATTAGTACCTGGTTTTTCAATTGCATAGATCATATTCAATTCTCTGATGAACTGGAACATTCTTGACGGCATTGCTGTACAATTTGTCCGCTTATTACGATTGAATTTGCAATATCCCATTTCTTTTGATACTTCTCTTGAAGAATTTGCAATATTAGTGCTAAAATCAAAGATCCATAAGGAATTTAACAATGCTGGAGGAGACAGTGGACCCTTTCGACCTGAATCAAGAATCAATTTTGGTTAAGCATACAACTGAGAAGCAGAATAACGAAAGCCAGATTAATTTTGCAAATTAAAAGAATGAAATTGAAAGATAAAATAAAGAGAGAAAGAGAAACCAGTTCAAGAATGGAAAGAGAAAGAAAAGAAAGAAATCCTTTTCCAAGAATTGAAAAACATGATATCGAAACCAAGAAATTGAAGGCTTCAACATTTTGGTTTCTTTAAATATTTGCAACCATAAAAAAGAAAATTGCACAATTTTGTAAAACACTAGAACTATTTCAATTAGGTGAAAAATTATACGCAATTAGTGATTATCATTACCATTAATACGAAAGGATTATGTGTAACAATACCTAAAATGTAATTCTGAAAAAGAAACGATGGAAGAATTAATTAAATTAAGAAAAAGGGAAAAAAAGACTTACAACCTTAAAATTTTAATATCTTCTTTTTTCTCCTTTTCACCAACAGGAAGGAAAATTAACCACAAAATGGCAAAAACCTTACAAAGAAAGCAAGAAACAACAAGGGTCAATGAAAAGGTTGAACTCAAAAGCCAAAATCATAATGTCATTTGGGCTGCCTGTATATGATTATGAAGAGGAAGATAAGGCAAGTTAAGCAAGAATAAATGCGAGAAACTCAGGGAGAATATTAAAAAATAAAGAAAAATATCCAACTCATGAACATCATTGGAATTAAAAAACAATAATTTAATTAAAAAAAGAAAGAAAGAAAGAAAGAGAAGTAGCAAAATTAGTATAGAACTCTGTAAAGATTTGCAAATGGAAGAAAGGCACATAAGCAATGACAAGTTGACAACTTCGAACCCAGCTCAAAGAGAATTAAAGAAAAAAAATATGTGAGCTGTTGCAAATTCTTATCATAAAATTTTGACTTAAACTAACAAATTTTCAGTGGTTGAACCTGTCAAACTTTCTCTTCTAAGGAAGCCAACCATAATTGGCATTGACACCCATTTTTTTTTCTAAAACAGTTTCTCGCTTATCTGTATCAATACAATATGATCCTACGAAAAAAAGAAAAGAAAATCAAATGGGTAAAGAAATATAATATACTTTGCAAACATAATATTTATACTATATTTATTTATTTTTTTCATATATGAGATGCCAAACAGACCGGAGTAACATTATAGACTGCACAGTAGGGAGAGCTTTTATTTTTAAATAACATTCACCGAATTCGTGATAACTTTGCCATGGAGAGGATTTAAACTCAAGACCTCTCACTCTCTACATTTATTATTAACTTTTAAATAACTGTTTTTTAATTAAAATTTTGCTTTAAGAATGACAATTTACATGGATTTTCATAAATTTTTTAATTAGAAAGTGTCTGTATATATATATGCCAAATGTATAAATTTGCCAAAAAAAAAAAATTGTACCACTTCCAAAAACATTTAGTACACAATTTAACATTACAAATCATTCTATTTAATGCTTCAATTTGTAAAATTAAATTGGTTAAATACTTATTAGATAATTAAAAAATACAAAAAATTATTTTTCCAAAATTTATATTAATCACGTGTCAATTCAAAACTTTATAAAAGCAAAAATCTTAAAAACTGTTACAGTTATAGTATGGAGAAGTGTGCATTATTATCACAATTCATAACCTTAAGAATATAATTAATTTCCATAAAGTTTGGAGGACCAGCAAAAAGTACAATAGTGAATTCATACAATTTGCCTGTTTTTTTTTTTAACTTTTATTTTTTTTTCATTAGTAGACGAACGGCGGAAAACCCAGCCCTTGACTTTACCTAACAAAACTTTTATAATTGAAACGAGTTATATAAGTGAAAAAATTAATTAAATCGCACTTGATTAAAATATTTTACCCATTATTCTTATATTCTTTTTTGCAATACATTTTTTATTCAACGGACTTATAGACAAATAAAATATATTCACAAAATAAATAATGGTGCACGCAAAGGATATTTTCTGACTGCACCAACAAAAAAAAAATTTGAAAAAAAAATTAAAAAAATAACATGTGCATGTAGAGTAAGATATGGATGACACTACCAAAAATTGTGATGGACAGACTATTTAGCTGAAATTATAATTTTATCATGATGCAATACATCTAATACCCCCTCTTTCCTAAAACCATAATCCATATTGATCAAGCTAACTACAAATTTCACAAATTCTTAATTTAGTTAAAGTTACCATAAATATTAGAAATCCAAGATTCTCAATTCAATCCCAACCTTCTCGATTACAATTATGGTTACGATTTATTTATTTATTTTTTGGAATCTTTTCATCATAATTTGGTTAATTTGATAAAAAAATATTTTGATCCTTGTTATTTTGATAAACAACCGGTTCTCTTAGCCATAATGTGGTATTTTGATCCTTAATATTTGATAAACAACCGGTATCTGAACTCCAATTATCAGGAACCTCTTAACCCGATTCAGGATTTAATCACAATTAAGGTTTTAGTCTGTATTGCCGACTGAGCCACAACTCTTATGTATATAATAATTAAGAATTTGTTAACAATTAATAAGTCTAAAATTGCAAATTCATTGTATCTAGTAAACTAATTAGGCATTGCTCTTGTATATACAAATAACCTATCAAATTTAATTTATTATTTTAAGATTTTTTTTTTAAAAAGAAATTTATGTTGAGTCCAAAAAAAGTAAAATTTTGAATCTGCTGCTGTAGAAAAGAAACGAGGAGCGGTTAGGGAGGTTGCATTTCATTTGTTATAAAAAGAGGAGGCAGCCCGATAATTACCAAAAAATGCAGGGATAGTTTTGTAATTCTAATTTTAACTTGCAAAGTACTAGCAATCTACTGCGGAGATCCATGTCCTAAAAATCGAGACGAATTTCAAAACTGTAGTCTCAAGTTTTCTTCTGGAGCTCTTGCTTCTTCTCTCTCATACACACTCTTACTCACTCCACTCTTCAATATCTTTTTTTCCTGCTTTTGAAAAGCATAAGTAAACAATGTATGATCCTCAACATTTTGTTGATTTACAAGAAAATTCCAATTTTGGGGACCCCAAATCTTGGCTTTCCGGCGATGATAACTCCTCCCCTACTCTCCGCCGAACTCATTCCCAACTCTCAGTCCACACATCCACCTCTACTTCTACCACTGGAGCCGCCGGCAATGTCGATCGCGTTCTCTTCAACAACCTCGTTGAGATGGTCCCTCTTGTAGAGTCCCTCATAGTAATTGTAATTTCTCTCTCCTTCTTTTTTAAGTCCGTTTAACAAGAGGGAAAGGTTTTAACTTTCAGAACTTTTACTAGGTAAGTGAGATTTTTTTTTTTCCTCTTAATTTACTTTGTGTATTGTGTAGGATCGGAAAACTAGCAGTTCATTTACGAGGCGCGGTTCAATGATCTATACGAAGACGCCTTCTAGAGAATCTTTACACAAAAAGGTTTCATCTCCCGTTTTGTATGTTTGCTCTTTGCTTGAATTTTATAGTATTTCAGTTAATTGCTTTTTTTCCCTTGTCAAATTGGTATTGTTAATACAGCATTTGAGGTAGTAGTTTTTTGTGATGTGAAGAATAATAAGATTGTTTTTATTTGTTAATCTTAGTTCAAATAATGGAATTGAACCATCCCATGATATACGTAGGTGTGGCACTTTCTAGTTTGTGCATATATGATGAATTAGACAGTTTTGCTGGTAATTTATAACTATATCTATACGTATGATATTAGCAAGTGTAATGTCTTGGTATAGGAAAATAACCAATTCTTACTGTTGATGGAAAGAAATAAAAATAGATTTGTGTATATACATTGTGACAAGCTTTACTCGGATTTTGTTTCCTTTTTTCCCCTTTTAGCTCACAGGATGAGAACTTAAATACTGGGCTAAAGAAAGCATTAGTTCTATGGGGGTTGTGTACAATGCATTCTCATAAACCACTTGGCTTCACATTTTATCATTTATGGTTTCCTCTTAAACAAGGTGTTTAATTTACTTTAACAATTTTACAATCAACTAAATCTGTAAGAATTTCGGTTGTCCAGAAACAAACATTATCTTCTGGCAGTTCCTCAAGGCCTTAGCATTGTCCCTTCTTGTCTTGAAGAAGTCCATCAAGAAAAACAAGGGATCCAAGTTTTGTCATCAGATTTTCCTGTAAGAATGTGAATGTCGACTTGAAGTATTTGAAGTCCATCATCAGCTGTGTATATGAATTGGGATTGTTAAACTATAGGGGTCAACTAAAAGTAATGGCCCAAAAGAGAGGGAAAACAGAATAAAGTGCAAAAAGTCATATAACCTGGGATTTCCAAAGTCAGTCCACTTGCTTGAGCTAATGCTCCTGTTCTTTTCACAAAATTAAAAACCTCACTCATGGTTTTGTTTGAGTTGTCAATGACTCCTTGTCTACTGTCTTTTATTGAGAAATAATTAATGTCACTAATAAACATGATCATTTAAGTTAATATGGTTATAACATGACTCCTGCTACATTAACTGAAAGCTTTTTTTTTTTTTTTTTTTTTTTTTTTTTTGTCAATGACTCCTTTGTCTACTGTCTTTTTATTGAGAAATTAATTATATGTTCACTAATAAACTGATATTTAAGTTATATGGTTTATAACATGGACTCCTGCTAATTAACTGAAAGCTTTTTTTTTTTTTTTTTTTTTTTTTTTTTTTTTTTAAAGTTATTGTTTTGAATTTTGATGATTACTTTGTCAATCTTATATTTTGTACAATTGGCATTGCTATTGTATATTTGTTGTATGTGGATCTACTTCTTTGAAAGCATGTTCAGGGAGACAATTTAAAGTGATTTTGCTCTTCTTATCATTGAAGATGATTGATCCAAAAGGGAGAAATACAACTCAATCTATTCCGGCTAGAAAGAAAAAGGAACATGGAGACAAGGACCAAGGGAAGAATGCAGGTAATAATCAAGATGCTGATAGCTTCTCAATCTTTTCCTCAAGAGCTTTGTCTATGGAAAAGGATGTAGAAGAGTTATCCACATTGAGGGAACAAGTTGAGGATCTGCAAAGGAAGTTATTCGAGAAAGATGAACTTCTGAAATCAGCTGAAATTTCGAAGAACCAGATGAATGTTGTTAATGTGAAACTTGATGAACTGAAACAACTGGCAGCAGAGAAGGATTCCCTAATCAAGGCTACTCAAACACAACTTTCTGATGCGAAGGTGCGCAACTTGCTTGTTTTGTTTTTTAGCATATTGAACCTTTGATCATTCTTTATCATGAATTCTACTTCTTTCAAATGAAGTTACTGCACATGACAAAAGGTGATTTTACATTTGTCGCAGTGAGAGTAGTTAATTTTGATATCTTGCAGATGCTATTTGCATGGATATGACTGCAAAATTTCAGGCAATTATATGGACTAGGCATGATCACGGTTCCAAAACTGGTAGTTCTGGTTGGGAACCAAAATTAGACAATTTTTTTTTTTTTTTAATTTTCATAGCATGAATCAATAAAAAGTAAAAAATAAAAAATAATTAGTAGCATTGAAAAGACTAAAGGAATTAAATAAAAAGCTTTAAAAAATTACAACAAAACAAAAAATACAATAAATGGAAGTTTTCTAATAATCTTTGATTTCACAATTCCCTTTTTTTTACAGTTTCTAATTGGAACCATCCGTTCTGGTTCCAAAATTGAGGAACCAAAGCTGAACCATGGGTTCGTGGTTTTGGTTCAAATTTGGAACCAGGAACTGTGGATCATGGTTTGGTTACATTTTTTACCGGCTTGGTTCTGGTTTGGAATTGAACTGTGGTTATGCCTAATATGGACTGAGGTTGTGATTTTTTAGATTTGAGATCCATTTTGTTCTAGGCAGAATTAGTTGCAAGACTATTTTATTTTATAGTCGCATAGAAACTAAATTTCTTTTTTCATGCTCATGCTATACTGTTAGATCCTTAGAACGCCTCAAAATTAAATTAAATGTGCATTTTTCTTTAATGTACAATGTTAAATGTATTTTTAAAAATTATGGAAAATTTTTTTCCAATTATGCTTAGAGAATATTAGTTCTTGGAAATTATTTATACCATTTAGATCTTGACCAATTATGTTATCCTAGAAATAAGGTTGAAATAAAGCTCTTGCCTAAAATGGAACATTTTGGAAATCTATCTCTGTCTCTGTCTCTCTCTCCCTCCGCTCCACAACCCACTCCCTTCCCCCTTCCCCCTTCCCCCTTCCCCCATCCTCAATCACCTTCCTGTTGGAAGTCATCTCATTTTGTTATTAGTGGTTGCTGTAATTCCTTACAGATTAAGCTTGCAGACAAGCAAGCTGCCCTAGAAAAGATACAGTGGGAAGCAATGACATCCAATAGGAAAGTGGAGAAGCTCCAAGAGGAACTAGATTCTGTCCAAGGAGGCATTTCATCATTGATGATGTTATTTGAAGGGTTGACAAACAATGGATCCACAACAGATGCTGAAGATTATGATGTCAAACCATGCTATTTAGATTATCTTCCAGATATTGTAAGCTCATAGCCCCTGACTCTGTGCATGACTACTTTTTTTCCCCATTTTTTTCCCCTTTCCTTTTCTTTCTTTCTTTCATCCTATTTATTTATTTGCATCTTTCATGCTTGTTATATGGATAAGAATGGAAGTGAGGCAGGCAACAATCAAAGCATCATTTCCCCCAATATTATTTGCTTGCTCTTCTCTTATGCCTGGCATCACAAATCCAACACATTCATTTATTATCAGCTTAATTCCTAGGAAAAAACTGTTGTGCCTTGGTCTGGTTTGTTGTAAGTTAGTAGAGATTAAAGAATATGGAAGCTCTTTTCTATTTTATTATTATTATTATTATTATTTGTTTTGATTCACCCTCTAAGTTGTCAAGAAAGCTTGTTTCTTTCTGTATCTTCATGGTTTGGTTAATCTTGTTGGTTTGATCTTGTTTATAACTGTATAACATCCATGTTTGTTTATAAAGGATGATTTGGATGACATGGATATGCAAAAGATGGAAGAAGCAAGACAAGCATATCTTGTTGCTGTTGCTACTGCAAAGGAAAAGCAAGATGAAGAGTCTGTTGCTGCTGCAGCCAGGGCAAGAATACATCTGCAATCTTTTGTTTTCAGATCCAATAATTTGAATGCTGGCAAGGATTTTTCCAATGGTGGCATTTCACGAGGTTCTTATGGAGCATTTCTACACAAGGTCCAACATGCAGTAGATTAACAGGCTTACCTGTAACTATTTTTTTGCCTCCAGTTCTTTATATTTTATTTTTAGTTTAATGGCTTGGCTTGTTTGCTTCTTGATAATTATATGTATCTAGGCCACTCAAGATCTCTCACATCATATTACTTTGTACATGGTTGGTTTGTTTCTGGGGGAGAGAGTTCAAACCATCTATTTGTTTATTTTAAAGTAGAATCCCATTAATATTTGGAGCACCTATTTTTTGTACTCAGTTTCAGCTCTACCAGTTCTTGCATTTGCAACTTTTTCCTTTTGTATGCAATCTATTCTTTTGTTAAGAAATGTTCATTATCTACTCCTCTTCGCCAATGTAAAATTTTGAGTTTGCTGCAATGTAAAATGGAACTAGCTTCTGTACAAAAAAAAAAAAAAAAAAAAAAATTTGTATGCAATCTATTCTTTTGTTTAAGAAAATGTTCATTATCTACTCCTCTTGACACGTTCCAATGTAAAATTTATGAAGAGGTTTGCTTGCAAATGTAAAAAATTGGAAAACCTAGCTTATTGTACAGAGAAAAAGATATTTAAAAAAAAAAAAAAATAAAAATAAAAAGTTTTGTAGGCTATAATTTGACTTGAATATTAACTGGATTATTCCAGTGAGATTCAATACATGTGAATTGGTTTCGAGTATTGAGTCGGGCAGAAAAAAGTAAAAATTTCGCATGTCTTTTTAATATAACTATATTTTTTTAATGTTTACTTTAAAAATTCTAAACCTGACTTTTTTGAATGGAAAGTTTTGTAAATTCTTATTAATTAAATAACAAAAGAATCAAAAAACAAAGAGAGAGCAAGGCAAATATTAAAGAATCTACAGCACTGAAAACGAGCCAAGAGACCTTGGTGCTTCCTAATGCAGAGGCTTCTCTGATTTGGGCATTTTGTAGGACTGCCAATTTTCAACGCTCCGATTAGCAAATACTGCAGATTTTTCCAATCAGTTAAACACACAACTACAAAACCAAACCAACCAAAATCATTTTGGAATTAGCATTTTGAAGAAAATAAAATAAAATATTAAAGTTGTTAGCTATATTACAGCCAGGAAAAGGAAGAAAAGAATCCCTGAGTAACTGCTTTCAGATCGATTAAGAGCCGCTTTGATTCAGTATGTAGAAGGTGAACTCTATATGCTCAAAGTAACTTTAGTTCTCTTCTTCCTCATCCCTAACCAAAATTTAGTAGTCACTAGTGTAAGATAAGCCTATTATAAGTCATGTAATTCTCAACAAATAAATAATCCTAATTTTACCAAAACATATTATATATAAACCAACGGACCATTTTTATTGCCTGTAAAAGACTGAATCTAAATATCATTTCTTTTTTTTTTTTATGGGTTTATTTTATTTCAATCAAGTACCCATTGTAACTTGAAAAACATGAATGAAAATGATAAAAATCTAATAACATTTACAACAACTAATTGTCTTAATCTCAAACTGGTTGAAGTCACTATATTGGCGGGAAGCATTTTATTTCCTGATTTTACTTTCATTTCAAATTTTAAGGATCAAAATGCAAAGGAAAATTATAATTTAAGTGTTCCGGATTTAGAAAGTTTATTTGAAATTATACTTTTATAGAAAAAATTTTTATACCGATATGATACACTAAAAAAATACCTCACAATAATGAAAAAGTGATAAAAGCCACTTACCCTCTTCAAGAGGAACTGAAATCAATTTATCACACTCTTCCTAAGGAAAGCATCAATTTCGCTTGTACATTATAACCTTTTTCCATTGCTACTACTCTTCCTAGCTGGTCTCTGCAATATCACCGATAATTAAAAAGCTGCTTTTAAATTCACTGCACACAACACAATGAACATCTTTCTTATGCTAAGTCAAGTTAATTTAAACACTCGCGGAGCAAACAACATTATTCTTCCAGAACTCAGAGTCTAATTAAATAAAAAAATACAAATGTAAGAAAAAAAGAAAAAAAAACTTTGCTAACCTTCCTATTGACAGGGGCCGCGAAACTTCTATTATGAGCAGAATCAAAAGAGATCTAACGCTTCAGAATTGAAACATCTTTGATAACTTCAAGGCACCAATCTTCTTTAAAACAGAAAACATAATAGTTCTTCCTTCTTGAAAGTGAGGGCCATGAAGAACTTGATTCAACTTTTTTAGCATATTTTAAACGCATTGAGGACATTTGTAACTGAATAATAGGTGTAAGTATTTTAGCAATTTCTATTTTTATTTCCTTCCCTATCAGTCTTTTCCTCAATTTCTACATCTATTTCGCTGCCATTGATGAACATTTCACTTTTATCCTTATTGCCTCTCAATATCACTATTGCATGTCAAAACAAATCTTCTTTTGATGTTTCTGAATTCATCATCCAATCATCATCATCATCTGCAAACAAATCACAAACAATTATTCTCAATGCACAATATTGTGTATTTCCAAGAAGCTCTTTTAGGTAGGTTAACCGCAAAGGAAATCTGCCAGGCGCGAAGAAACAAGAAGTCGCAGTCTCTGGAGTCGCCGTCCTCTCATATATAACTTGGTGACTGTCCATGGCGTGGCACAATATTTAATTTAAATTTTTGTATTTAACGTTACATCGGAAAACAGTTATTGTAATTTTTAGTTTTAAGTATTTATATTGGGGAGAGAAGAGATAGTGAAGGCGATGATGGTTAGAAGAGGGGAAAATGACATTTGGAAATTTGAAAAAAAGGAGAGCATAAATTAAAGGGAGTTAAGTGTGATCCATTAGTGAGTGATGAAGTTTCGGTTCTATGTGTATTTTGTATATATGGTTCCTGAACAGAACAGGGATTTTCGGTTTTGGACAGAAGGAGATATAGAATAAATTGGAAACCTTCTGTAATTCTGGTGGGAAAATACTTTTTTTTGTTGTTAATATCTTTCTAAGGGTCTAGTTTAATTTATCTCTCATTGGGTCTTCTAACTAGCACTCTCTCATTTCTAGTTTAAGTTTATACGCTTTCAGAAAACTCAGAGGATAGGTTGGTTGTAATGCTTTTTTGTTTTAAAATACAAAATTCCTCTATTTCCTTGCAAAAAATCTAGGATTAATGTATTATTGAAGGCGTAAGATCTCCTTCGCTTTCAAAATTTGGTGTGCGATTGCATTATTTTATATTATAATTATTATTTTATATATTTACTATGTAAGACGAATAAGGGTTCTGAATATATCGTGTTACAAAGTCAGCGGTCGCCTACTATTCCATCGGAAAAATGAATTTTATATACCATCTGAATATCTGTATGAGTTGAGCGACACTCATAACAATTAAAATTAGAATATAAAAGATCAGTTAATTTGTACAAAAAGAATATATCTGATTACCATAAACAAATTTTTAACAAAATTTCATAAAAAAGGAAGGAAAGGTTTCACGTTCGCTATATAAGTTAAAATATTTTTTTTAAAATATCTCTCGATAAGTATTATATATTTGTTTAATATCTTGAGCGTAATATTATCTAATTCATAAGACTAAACTAGTTATTTAACTGAATAGTTCTAAAATCAAGACACAATTATAATTAAAATCTGTTAAAATAATGTAGGATTAATTAAACCAAGGTTTAAGGAATTAAATGAAATTCAACACCACTAGAATACATATATACATAAGTCCATAAAAAAATTTAAATATAAATACTTATATCATCATTTTATTTATACATGTATTAGGAACATATTCATTTACTTTTAAGATGAGATTAATCATTTAAAAAAGAAGGGATAAACCATATGGAGAAATCATAGGAATAGGGGTATTGCATCGGACCACCAAGACAAATCAGAGTTAACGATCACCGATAGAATATATAATTGAACCAACAGTATATAAATTTGGTAATATAGTTCTGGAGATAATAAATATCCTAGGAATACATACTAGACCTTGTACACCATGATACTAACGATTCCACTGTAGGTGTCCTGCGTGGACACAGAGACACGGCTAGGAGGGCACCAGTAGGAGTGTCTAAACTTTCATTAAGTGACCACTGACAACCAGAAGGGCCCACTAGTAGTTCAGGGCAAGATTTGGACCTATGAGAGATGGTTAACATTCTATTTGAGATCTTCCTAAGGGATTTTATGGACAATCGGAGTTTAAATAAATGGGCCAAAATTTAATACACCAACATCATTTCGATTGACCAACCCTCCATAGGATAAATTTAAATAAAAAAACTAATTTTATACCAATCAAAATTTTATAATTTATTATTATTATATTTTCTACGGCCTATCATCTTAATATTTATCTCCTATCCAATGCATTGCTTTGCGAAAACATGCAATTGATCGAGAGCCCTCAGTTACAATAAACATTCTAATAATTCTTTATTATGATATGGGACTTACCAGATTAATTTTGTCTAATGTTAATATGACACAATAACTAACTATTATTATGCTAAAATTATTTGCTACAGAACATTTGCCGTATGATTGCCAACTTAACACTTTAGTTATGAGAAGGTAAACAACCACTCATGAGCACCTTCATTTATAATATCAAACATAACATTTATTTATACAATTATAGTATTCATAATCATAATGGCACATAATATTAAATTATATATTAATTTCTTCATTTCTTTCATTGAATTTTTTATTAAAAAAAATTGAGGCAATCTGTCTCAGAAAACTCGAAGACACAGATTTAGAGCCCTAATTAATAGTATCTGTAGTGTAATAAGGAAAAATATTAACTTAACTTCCTGAAAATATCTATATATATAGAACAATTATGTTGAGTTATTATCCTAAGTGAGTAATAATTATTTGGTTATACTATATTAACATCGCAGTCACGAACTTAACAATAAATGATATAACTATTTAGCAGGGGTGGTATAAATTGTTCTAGATCTTAATAATGTTCTGAGACTGCATATAGTTATACCATTGTGCTCAACCACCAGAGCAAGATCTCTTAAGATCCCGAGAACTAGCAGAATGGCAGCATACCAGGCTACTCACAAATCAACTTTGTTCTACATTCTCTCCTAAGCATATATACAATAACAAAGATGTGATAATTAATGTTTTGTCACAGTGTGGCAGGACTCTCATTACCGAGTAAGAGCAGATTCCCCCGATAAGGGCAGGAAGCCACACGTTCGCTCCAACAACAAAACCATTGTGCTGTCGCTCCCACATAGTAATGTAGGAATTCATATTATCATTTGTAAACTAATATGTGCCATGGTCTCTACACCT